ACGACCAGGTCAGGTTGACGAGGCTGAAGATGTCGTAACGGAGCGGTATGGTTCCAGACGTCCAAGTCCAGTGCCGAGTCGGGCGCCAGCCCGCATAAGACGTCTGGTTATTGTTGGCGGGCCGAACCACGGCCAGTGTCCTCTGGAGGGATCGATTGGCACGCACCGCTATAGCTGCAACGTTTCTAGACTCAGCCACGACCTGCTTGTGCACGCGCGCTGCCATTCCAACGATCCGTGCATCTTCCTCCCACTGCGCCTTCCAGCGTTGGTCGTCGGCCGAGAGGAGAAAGCTGACTGCCCCGACACGCTCGGTCAGTGTCCACGTGTCCGGAGCCCCCCGTCCTGTCAGGTTGCACACATGACATCCGCTGCGCGGGGTGTCGCCTCGCCACACAGCGTAGCTGTTGAGCTGGGGGGACAATGCGGCAACAGCGTTCTTGCAGCTTTCAGCGGTGTCCATGTCCCCGAGATGACCATTGTACTCTGCGCTTGTGCAGATGAGATCTTTGTCGTTGACGCGCTTCCACTCGCCCAGGCTAGCAGCATGGGCGAGCGTCGAAGCTAGCAGCAGGCTAGACATGATCTGGGCGTGATCCGTCCGCCCGACGTCAATCGCGGCGGCGCGCGAGAATATTTTACTCAAAATTTTTGAAAATGAGTTTACGTTTCGACGCCCCGAGACGCCAGCGCGAGAAGATGGGAATGATGCTTTACACGCGCGGACCGCTCAGCGCCGAGAGGGCGGCGGCGGCGGCGTCTCTCTCTCTCTCTCGCCCAGATGTGTGTCTTGATTTGCCAACAACAAACCAGCAAGACAGGCAGACAGACGCCCACCCACAGCGACGGGGGGTGCGGCGTGCGCGCTGCGCCAGGCGGGTCGACAGGCGGGAGGGGAGAGGGGATGGGGACCCTATTTGGCGTGAGGTGGTGCATGCACATGCACATCGATGCACACACACATGCACGCGGCCACCGCGCCCGCCGCAGTTCCGCCGTCTCGTCGGGCAGCAGCTCCTAATCTCGAGACAATCTCGGGTCAATCTCGCGCGATCTCGGGGGAGCTCCGCCGTCGGGCAGCAGCTCCTCGAACATGTATCAGGTTTAGTCCACCCACTTCTCCTCAGCGACGAATCTGGTTCGTGTTAGCAGTGGGAAAATATGGAAGGAAAAAAGCAGCAGAACGACAAACCTGTCAGCAGAGTCCTCCTACGGGAATGTACGTAAGAGCCACATATGCTGAACAACAAGGAAGGGGGAAATAAAAAACTGGGAGAACCGCCATCGGGTATCTTCGTAAGAGCCACATACACTGAAAAAAGGAATTTTACAACACTCCCTCGCAGAACGAACGCTGCGAGCTGTTTGAAAAAAGGAGCGAACCGAGCCGCCGGTGTGTCCCGCAGCGGCCAATGCGACCTCGCTGGGCCAGAAAATCGGCCCGCGAGTGCTCCGCAGCAGCCTCGCTGGGCCAGAACATCGGCCCGCGAGGTGGATGGATGCTAGCATGAGCCCGATGCGTCGCAGTGTAGGTCTATTGTCGTCGCAGTGCTCTTGCGTTTCGGCGGTAGTTTTAGGTATATTGTTGGCAAATCAAGACACAGAGCTCACACAGGATCACAGCGGGAGGAAAGCGGCGAGTCGCAATTCCTGGGGTCCTTGTAGTGATCTGATCACCCGAATACCACGTTCGATCGCTCCTCATCGCAAACCCTGTCAGCAGTTCACCTTCGGGTAAGACCTACATAATTCTTAAAAGAATAACCGGCGGAACTTCGATCGATGGCAACCGCGCACGTGTCACAGCCCTCGCCCGCGGCAGTCCGCCTTTTTGTGGTGTGATGGCGTGGAACCCGGCCGCAAAGGTAATACTGAGCGCTGCAGAACCGTGCGCCCATGCACAGAGCGCGCTCCTGCTTCCGTCGGTGCCAAAGGGCTTGTGCAATCAACGGCTGCGGTGGGTGCAGGATTTGCTGGCGGCTCAGGTGGCGCGTGCGGCGGTGGTCCTTCCGGATGTGCTCTATTCGCGCCGTGGCTGCCACTTCCACGCCTCTTGCTTCAAAGAGTATTCTGGCGATGTTGCCTTCGGGGCAGTCTTTGACGTCAATGAGACATCGCGCTTGCTCGCCGAAGCGGGCCTGTGCGTCCTAAGCGCTGCGGCGGCGGCAGCGCGCTTCCCTGCGACCCTTGGCGTGCTGCCGAGAGATGCACTCGCCCTCCCGACATCCACCTCGGAGCTTTTTGCCGTGCAAGAGGAGCTCGCCTCGCGGGTCGCCGGCGCAAGGTGGCTCCTCGCCGCGAATGCAACTTGCTGTACTCTTGTAATCCCCAGCACGGCGCCCTCCGCCTCGTTCTGGAGGCGAATCAACGCCGCGTTCAAGCCGACCCCCTCGCTCCGCTCCGGTGCCGAGGCCGTGCTGCGCCTCTTCCAGCGGGCAGCTGCAGCCGAGGGCGCCGTCGCAGTCGCCCTGCACTGGCGCGGCCAGTCCGACATGCAGCTGTCGTCACATAAACTCAACGTGACAGCATACGCCCTCGAGACGGCAGCGGCGCTCCTTCGCGTGCGAGGAAGGCTCCTCGGCTGCTCGAATGGGTCGGCCTGTGGCGAGCCGGCGCCGCCGCTCTCCGTGCTGGCATTGGGTGGCTTCACCGCACCCCAGCTCGAGGAGTTGCGTCGGACGCTGAGCTGGGCCCTGGCGATGCGATGGCGCAACGAGGGCGGTGGCCCTGCAGATGGAGGCAGTATGGCTGGCGATACGGGTGGTGGCGATGCGGGTGGCGGTCGTGGCAGTGCCGGTGGCGGCGGTGGCATCGCCATCGGCAGCGCCGGCCTACAAGTGCATTCCAAGGAGTCGCTTCAGCCGGGGATGGACTTTGGGATGGCCTTTGGCGGCAACGACGACGCGGTTGGGATGATCGACCTCGAGGTTGCTCGGATCACTCCCGTGTTCGTTGGCAGCCCCTTCTCCTCGCTCTCCGTTGTCGCCGCCGCCCTCCGCCACGGCGCTGAGCGGCGCAACGGCCACAATAGCGAGTCGGTCACGGAGATGGTGTTAGCGGACGTTGGCGACCGCCTCGGCGCCATCTTTGCGCTGCAGGCGCCTTACCTGAGAGGCGGGGAGGGATCGGTGGCCGCCGCGGACCCATGCGCAGCGCTGCAGGAGCTGTTTGACTTTGAACGGCCTGAATGGAGCTGCGCAAAGCGGGGTCCGCCGCAGTCGCACCTCTTCTCGCCTGTGCCGAGACGGCCGCACACGCAGTGCGACTCGCTCATCGGCAGTGCAATGCACGTTTTGCCACCCGTCGACGCACCGAGCCGGCTGAGCTTCAACTGTACGCACGCCGTGGTGACTGCTGTGTACAACGACTACGACCGGCTGCCATACTACACGCAAACCTTCCAGCGGAGGCTTGAGAGGCAGGAGGCGGAACGAGGCGCGCGCACCTGCTGGTTCGCGTTCACCGACACCGCCTCGATCCGCGCATTGCTACCGCCCAGCGCGGTCAAGACGGCAGAGGCAGCCGTCAGACAGGGGCCGTGGATCAGGTACGGAATTTGGCACTTGGTGGTGCTACCGGACACTGTCCGCTTCTCGAGCGATGACGCGGCGCACAGGAGCATTCGCTCGCGGCTGCCCAAGATGATGCCGCACTGCGTGTTGGCCCACGCGGGCAAGATGCTGTACATTGACGCGAAGCTGAAGGTGGTGCGGCCAGAGAGCTTCTGGCTGATGATCGAGCATGAGACGAGTCTCTCCAACCCAGCGTGGGTCGCCCCGATGCACCCCAATCGGCACACCGTGCGGGACGAGCTGGTCTGCCTATACCTCGCTGGGATGGTAACGCAGCGCGCATTTGAGCAGCTCAAAACCTACCATGCCCTCGGCTTCCCGAGCAACCGCCTCGCCGCTGCTGGTGGGCCGGGCCTCGCCGAGGGGAACTGGCACGCGCGCGACCTGCGTGCTCTAGACTCGACGCTGATAGGCAACGCGTGGGCGGCAGAGTACCTTCAGTGGAGGGAGCACTCCCTGCGCGACCAGCTCTCTTTCAACTTTATCGTATGGCGACTTGGCCTCCTGCCAGGTCGCCGCGCAGCGAGGCCCCATGGCGACCCTCCGACGGGGCGTGGCCAGCTCGGCGACGGCACGGAGGGTTGCGCGGACCGAACCTGCGAGTACCGCCCTGGAGGCGCACCGGTCGGTGGGGCTAGTGGGGATGCGCGTGGCATTTTGTGGCACATGCCGACCCCGGTCCGTCGCGAGGAGGTGCGGCGACAAAAGCCGACGCGCAACGAGGAGCGGCAGCTGCGGCTGACCTGGGCGTGCGCCAGGACCTGGCGGTGCCACCTCACGCGGTATCCCGACCTGCGGGAAACGGCCGCCGCACAGCGGCTGCTCGCGAGAGCGAGTTTGAGGCCAGGAGGCTGCGCGTGCGAGTCAGGGATCGAGCTCCAGGTGCTGCAACACCTCACGCCGCTCCCGCGGACGACAGAGACGACCTTCCTGCGAAGGGCCTTTGGCGGCAAGCTCAAAGAAAATAAGTTGTCCGGCCTCCTCTCGAGCCATCGCTGGTGCAACTATGCCTCCTTCGCCCTCGACAACCTCGCCACCTTTGTGCAGCTCCAGAAGCAGCTCGGCGGTGTGGGGAGAGTCACGGCGGCGGATATCGGCGCACGGAATGTGTCGCTGCCGGCGCGCCGCCAGCAGTTGAATGTGGCGGGCCGGCAACCGCGCCGGCGGCGAGGAATTGGGCTGGGCTAGCTTTGTACTCAACGCTGTCAGCAATTTTGCAGCGACGAAAAGTGGTGCCCCCGTGCGGTAGCGTGAGGTGCGCGGGCTAGCCATCCACGTTCCGCTTCGGGTGTTGGGTCCCTGCTCCTCCGTATCGCCTCCGACAATTTTTACCTGCTCTCGCTGCCGTCCTCATGCCACCTCCTAATGCCACGTCGATGTGCTCAATTTTTTTAATTGTTTGTGCCCGCCGAAACCGTGGAAGCAAAAATGTCGAAATGTATGCCGAACCGCATATGCTCGGCGATGGACACGGCCGCGGAAGCGGACACGGCCCCCCTCCACAGGGTGGATGCAACGGGCCAGGCACACGGACGTTGGGGTCGTATCGGAATCTGCTTGCTCACCATTTGCCTCGTCCTAGTCCTCGCCGTGCGCAGGCCTGCCCTTCCGCCGCCAAGAAAAGTTCCATCCCGGCCGCTGTCGGGAGGCGGATCGATCCCGGCGCTCCTGATGGGGGGTGACGATTTTTCGGAGTGGTTCGAGGCCGCAGGTTCCGGCGCCGCAATCCAGACCTTCTATTCGTACGGCAACGGGCCGCACATCGCCCCGCAGCTGCGGCGCTTTGGGCGATCCAATGTATTCGTGTCGACAGGCATCCCATGCGGCTGCTGTGGCGCCGACTCGCCCAGCGTTGAGCCTATGAACGCCTCCCTTGCAATGTCGTATATCGACAGAGAGCTCGCTGAGCTGCAGACCGGCTATGCCGACTTGCTCCTTTTCCACCACCGATGCCGGACAGAGAGCGAAACTGCGAGCGTTTGGGAGGCCTTCGAGGCCGCAAAGCGGCAGGGCAAGGCGAGGCACCTGGGAGTCTCCAACTTCAACGCTCACGACCTCGAGGTCCTGTCCTCGACCGCGGTCGAGCCGATCGAGGTCCTCGAGGCTCATTTTGGCGTTGGAATGATGGACTGGGAAGTCCTGGGCTACGCGCGGGCGCACGGCATCCACCCCGTCGCCTTCGCTTCGCTTTCGGAGGCGCACACCGACCACCCGACTCTGCAGCGCGCCGTGTCGCGCGTCGCAACTGCTCACGGCGTGACTGCGACACAAGCCATGTACGCGTACCTCCTGCAACGTAACCTCAGCGTCATATCGTCGTGCTTTCATCCGGAGGATCCCCAAAAGTGTGCGCGATACTACTCGTTCGACCTGGCTGCGCTTGACGTGTCGCTGAGCGCAGCCGAGCTCGAAGTGCTCGATGGCGTGACGGCGGGCAGGCGCACCTGCACCGACTGCTACACTGACGAGTGCCAGCGATGTGCAGCAACTCTGCACGCCCTTGGTTGTCCACTCGGTGTCAACGGGTGGGGAACGACATGGTGGAGCGTCGGGGACAATTTCACGGAGCACCCGGCCTGGGGACGAGGCAATGAAAACGGGACGCGTTGCATGGCATGCGCGGCGGTGCCGAGCCACCGCGCAGAGGTGGAGCGAGCGTGCGGGCGCGCTGACCGGGGCGAGAGCCTCGAGACCATGGTGCCCAAGGCATGTGGTGTGTAATGGCGAGCGGTTGTGGCTGGCGGGCCGCACCTCTCAATCGTCACGAGCGTCCTTGGAGCATTTGGAGTGCAGTTGGTAGCAGCCTCACATCCAGGCACCGGGGCCGGGGGGCCAATCTTTTTTCTTTTTGGTGTACCTCTGTTAGTGCCAGTGCGCGCCAGTCCCGTGCCTAGTGTTGTGAGAGAGCTCTCGACAGAATAAAATTCTTTCCTGCGCCGATGTGTGTGCTAGTGTGCGCCAGTCCACCGGCCCTCGTTGTTTGTAAAAGCGCTCTTGCACAGAGGAGGAAAATGGACAATTAATCAGACGCCGACTCTCGCAGGCGAGGGGAACTGATGAATAAGATGGGCTTGCCCATCGTCCCGGAGTGGTTCGACCCCACACAAACCCGGAGGGGTGATGGGATGCTGTCGCGGCGGTCTCAGGCCCAGTGAGGTAGTGCGCCAGACTATCCCGGATCCTGCTGATCAAGCTCCTCTTGTAGCTCGATCGGTCACACCGCCATCGCCGATGATGCTTGATGGAGAGGGCAGAGGGAGGGCCCAACTTCAGAATCGTGCTTTTTTGGTTAGGGACCAAAGCGCGAAGGACCACTTTTGGGTTAGGGACCGCGGGCGACAGGTTAGGGACCGATCGCCGCCGCATACGCCGGCGGACGGCCACCATCGGTGTTTTTGGCTTCGCCACCGTTCAAAGCGTGCGCAATGCGCTCGCCGACATCAAGCGAGCACGCCTGTCCGACGAGCGGCTTGCTGTGTGGACGCCTTCTTGTGGCTCTCGTCGAGAGCGTTTTGCGACCCGGCGGGTGGGAGAATATGTGTCGTCTGATGTGTCACTGTGTACGTCACATCGGTCTTGATAATAAGCACGGTCGATCCGTCGAAGCGATACACTCGTTCCTATCACGTTGGACGGCTGGCACGGGAGCTCTGTGCCAGCAACAGGAACCGAGCCGTACGGCAAGAAGAGCTCGATGGGGAGCGAGAACCGTCAGAGGAGCTTCAAGGGTAACCTGAAGTCCTCCGTGACGCGCTCAATCGCTCCCAAGCGGGTGGCTCTCGAAAACCGTCGATATCTTCCGGAAAGACTGCTCTTGCCGAGCAGCCGATATGCCCAGACGGAGGCGCAGAAAGGCTGCGAGTACTCAACGAGTTCCGCGACCTACGCAGTCAAACCTGGGGGGAACTGACCGCACCATGGCGGACTTCCGAAACCTCCGTGAGCACCTCTGACGGTTCTCGCTCCCCATCGAGCTCTTCTTGCCGTACGGCGGTCTTCCTGATGCGTGCCGGCACAGAGCTCTGTGCAAGCCGTCCAACGTGATCGTGACGAGTGTATCGCTTTGACGGATCGACCGTACTTGTGCTCTCGACGAGAGCCACAAGAAGCCGTCCGCACAGCAAGCCGCTCGGTCGAACACTTTGCTCGCTCGATGCCGGCGAGCGCATTGCGCACGAGGTAGACGGTGGCGTAGCTAACATCACTGACGAAGACCGTCCGCTGGCGTGAGCGGCGGCGATCGGTCCCTAACCTGCGGTCCTTCACCGCAATCGGTCCTTCGCGCTCGTCCCTAACCCAAAAAAGCACGATTCTGAAGTTGGGCCCTCAGAGGGGGTGGGACGACACTGCTTCTGCAGCGTGCACCTCGAAATCCTCGATCCGTCCGGTACCGTGTTTTTTATGACCCCCCCCAATGAGCACACCAGCGAGGGAGGGCGAGACGATCGAGGGGTCCCGTCCAGCTTTAGTGCTCAAAAGAAAAAACCATAAGACCGCATCAGAGAGGTCCAGCCCTTAGTCGTGCCTCGCCCGGTTGTATCCCTGCCGGAGTCGCAGCCTCTCTGTGCGAATCACAACAACTTCTGATGGGCTCCGGCGCCGACATTGGAGACACAGCCTCGCGCTCTCTTCTCCCAGGCGGCCTGCCTACGACGACGCCGGGGCCCAAGACGCCTCTCACCGCGCGTGCTGTCACCATCCGGTGCCTTGGTGGTGCTGTGCTGTGCATGCTCTTTCTCCTCTGGCCAGTCTTGGCGGCGGCGAGCCGCGGCGGCGGTGAGCCGCGAGGCAACGCGACGGCGACGACGAGCGGTGGGCTGCCGCACTTTGAGCTGCACTTTGAGCCGCACTTTGAGCTGCCGCGGCCATGGACTCGTGGCGCTACCATCACTGCCGTCGCGCTAATGCGCGGCCCACCAGACTCTCCGTCGGGCTTCTGTGCCGACTCGCCGAGCTGCACGGTTCGCGCGTGGAACGCCAAGGCCGGCAAGTACTCTTGTGGGCAGCGCGTGGCCTTCTTGATGTCGCGAGAGGGAGGCGGCATGGAGGAGGAGCCTGCGTGCCGCCAGATCGCGGAGAGAGAGTTTCCAGTGCAATGCAGAGGCTGCCACCCGGACTGGCGCAAGCCGGTCTGCGACGAGAGCTGCGTCGGCAGTCCTCTCTACTCTGGCGACGGGGTCTGCGACGACGGCGGTTACGGCTCAGAGTGGTCTGCGTGCGACTATGGCACTGACTGCAGCGACTGCGGCCGCCGCGCGGACCTTCCGCTGCCACCGCCGCGCTCACCGCCATCGCCGCGGCTGCCTCCTGCGCCGCCTCGGCCGCCGTCGCCACCAGCGCCGCCGCACCCGCCCCCACGGCCGCCGGGGGCGCCGCCACCGCCACCGTCACCGCCGTCGCCGCCACCTGAATCCCCGCCGCTGCCGCCGCCGCCGCGACCGTCTCGGCCACCACCGTCGCCGGCGACGCCCGTGCCCGCCGACTGGCTCGCAGACCTCACCGAGTTCGCCGACTTCCTCTTTCAGCCCGACCCGCCGCCGCCGCCGCCGCCGCCGCCGCCGCCGCCGCCGCCGCCGCCCGCGCCGCCCCCCTCGCCGCCGCCGCCTTTTGCACCCCTGCCTCCGTATCAGCCGCCGGCGTGGTGGCGGTTCTGGGAGGAGGGCAACATGCTGCGAGGGCACGCGGCGGGCGCGGCGGGGCTGGAGGCGGGCGGGGCGGAGGAGCCTGCCGAGAAGGCCGCCTCGGGCTGCTTTTTCAACCACCGGTGGACCTTCCCGTGCGCCTCCGCGCCGCCGCCCCCTCGCCGATTTGCGAGCTCGCGGCCGCCGCGCCAGCAGCACGTTGTCAGCCAGAAAGGCGCATGGACACATCCATTCGCAGCGGCGCAGGAGCAGACGGATTCTAAGGCGAAGTTTGTTGAGCAAGGGGGCACGCTGCAGGAGGGGGGCGCGGGCCGGCGCTGAGAGTGAGACGCAGAGACGGCAAGCGTGTGTGTATCCCGTGTCCCATCTGGGACTGGTTCGCGGTGGGTTCGGCGGGCGTTTTTACTATCTTTCTGGGTCTTTTCAAAAAACTTTTTCTCTTGGAGCACTTGAAACTTGGAGCACTTGCGACTTGGAGTGCCGGGAGCTGAGGCGGACCGGTCCGAAATTTTTCTTCTTTTCTGTCTCTCACCTGGCGAGCACTTGGAGCACTTGGAGTGCAGTCGGTAACCTCACATCCAGGCGAGGGCCGGGCTGAGGCCTGAGAGAGACAGCCGAGTCGTTGTACATGCATAGCCTCCTCCTAGCTGCGGCGTGCGTCATGCTTCCTACGCACTTGGCGCTGCACCACATAAACCCGGCTCGCGCTGCTCCTCCACGGATGGGGCTGTTCGACTCTCTGAGAGAGGCGGCGCGAGAGGTGACGGTGCAGCACATCCTCGTAAGCAAGCAGGCGGACGCCCTCGAGATTTACGATGCTCTTCTCGCAGAGGGCGGCACTTCGGAGGCAGTTTCCAAAGTCGCCTCAGAACGCAGCCTCTGCGGCTCGGCTCGGAAGCGACCTGACGCCAAGTTGGCGCAGCTGAGAGGCAAGCCCGGAGAGCTGCGCTTTCGCCGCGGGTCGATGGACCCAGAATTCCAGCGCGCCGCCTTCGAGGCGGCACCAGGGACACTGGTTGCGCCCTTCAGGTCGCAGTCGGGCTGGCACGTCATGCTGGTGAACGAGTGATCTGTTGCGCGGAGTCAGACGAATGAGAACCACCTCTGTGTCGAACCTCTGCGCTCGTGCGTCGCCCGTGGAGATGCCTGCTCTATTTATTTGCGCGATAGACTTTAGATGAAAGAGCGTTCTCGACTCCTCGACTCGAGCCACTCCGATCTCCGTGGGCGTGGCACACCTCGTGGCACTCAGGTGTGTGGTCATATATGCATTGAGGTTTGACCCGCCCCCTACACACAGTTATTGTTATGGTGTTATGGCTCTCTGGGCATAGCAGCCCATAATATGTGATGGGTGTTATGGGTGTTATGGGGCCGGGCCCATAACAGCCATAACACCCATAACATGTTATGGGCTGCTAAGCTATGAGAGGGCCGTCTCCCGGGTCCACTGAGCCCTGGTCTGACAGCCTGGCAGCAAACCGCCCCGGACAGCGCCTGACAGTGCCCGACAGCCTGACAGCGCTGACAGCACTTTCTCTGACAGTCTGACAGCACGTATCTGACAGCCTGACAGCAGAGCCTGACAGGCGAGGCGCTCCGTCGCTGTCAGACCCTAACGTGACAGCCTGAGACAGCTGCCTGACAGCCCGACAGCACACAGTGGCCTGACAGCAGCGCTGACAGCCCGACAGCAGCACAGACCATACACAGTCAGACCCCCCCCGTAGAGCCTCTTTCTTGTGCCCCATGAGGGTATAACAAAACTATTACATGCAAAGACATGTACATGTGAGTGTGGTCCATCTAGTCATGGGATGGTCATGGGTCTCTCTCTCAACCCTCCCGCCCCACCTCTGCGGACCCCTCTCTAGCACCGGCGGCTGTGCTACTACAAATGAAGCTACCAGCTAGCCTTCTGGGGCCCTACAGTCATATGCCTACGGCGTCTGGGTCACTGGGTGGGGGTGGCCGCCGCCGTCTGTGCCGCCGCCGCGGCCTGCGCCTGCGCCGCCATCTGCGCTCCCCAGGCGGCCGCCCCTGCCGGCGTGATCACGCCGTAGGAGGGGGGCAGCTGCGTACCCGCTGGTCTCCTCTTGATAGTGTCATAAGTGTGGCTGGTGTGTATCAGAGCCTGACAGCACCCCGACAGCTAGGGCAGCCCGACAGCACCACCTGACAGCACCTGACAGTAACAGCCCAACGTCTGACAGCAGCAGCAGCCTGACAGCTCTGACAGCTCCGACAGCGTCTGACAGCAACACCCGACAGCTCCGACAGCACCCGACAGCTACAGAGCCCCTCGCCTGTCAGACACGCACCCGACAGCACCCGACAGCACTGACAGCACCTGACAGCTGGTCTGACAGAGGCACCTGACAGTGCCTGACAGCTGCCCGACAGCCCGACAGATCACCTGACAGCACCTGACAGCCTGACAGCCAGGGCTCAGCGGGTCCACGGTGTTATGTGGCCCGAGAGGCCACACCGAAGTGCTCGCCGCTGGAATTTTCGCTTCGCGCGCTGCCGCGCGCGAGGTTCGGCATCGATCGCCAAATATGTTCTCTTTTGCCCTCAAGTTAAATTCAATAACATCAACCTGCCTCCTGAGGCTGAGCGATGGCTTCAGATTGCTCAATCAAGACCCCCCCCCCCTTCACGCAATTTGCTTCTTGTTTCTAGCTCGTACTCTCTGCAGCTCTGCACTTCTGCACGCTTTCCCTCCGTTTTTAACTTGTATGTCTTTCCCGCAATTTAACTCACGTCCTTTTTCTTTCCTTTCACTACATGCACATGTACATGTCTCGAGGTTTCTAAAAAGTGGAAGCTGGCTGCTCCCGCTTTTTAGTAGTTAAAGCTCCGTGCGCGCCAGTCCCGTGCCAGTGTCGTGCGAGGGAGTTTGTTGTAAAACTCTTGCTCATCGCGCGATCGATGGATGGATGTTGCTGCTTTCCGCGTTGCTGATGCCCTGCACTCCTTTCCGGATCGGGCCGACCCGTATCGAAGGTGAGCTGGCAGAGTTAGAGCAGGCTGCTGAGCAGGCCGGGCTCGACGGTGTGAGGTTGCCATTCGAGCTGGACCTGGTCCCGGCGATGTTTCAGCATCTCCTCTCGACCGGCGCGCTCAACCGGCGACATGTTCTCTATCAATCGGTCGATCGCTTTTGTGCAGAGGCGCTCGGGCTTGAATCAGAGCTATGGAGAGCTGACCCGTCGCGGCGGGGCTCCAAAAGAAAAATCCGTGGGACACATAACAGCTGTTATGAGGTTATGCTGGCTGTCATAACAACCAGTGGGATGTGTTATGAGTGTTACGAGGTGTTATGAGGTGTTATGAGGTGTTATGGTAGGGTGGGCATAACAGCCATAACAGCGATGGAGGTGTTATGAGGTGTTATGAGGTGTTATGAGGTGTTATGGGGTGTTATGAGCAGCCACCCAGCCTAACAGCCATAACACCTGTTATGGCCGCTCCCATAACCTTGTCTGGGGTCAATGAGGTGCGCTGAGGTGGCACTCTCGGCATACAGAAACCGAGAAAGAAAGAACAGACAAGGGGAATGGAGGACGGCACGCCGCCACCACCACTGGGAATTTAAGGAGAGGAGTGTTGCTAGCCGTCGCCCACCCTTCTTTAAGAAGCCTTCTCTAGCCACCCTTGCGCCTTGGGGGCGCCTGCCTCTTCGCTCTTCCTATCTCTCTTCGCAGTTTCTCGCCAATTCTCGCAGCGACCTTCATGCCACCTCTCGTTCTTCCCACTCTTCTCCTCGTTCTCTCTCTCTCGTTCTCTCTCCTGCCCCGTCGTCCTCTGCCTGATGGACAGCCTGATCGCTCTCCTCGCTCTCTCATCTGCCTCGACCCTCGTTCTGCGACGACGACGACGACTGCCGATCCCTTGCTCTCTCGGCTTCTCTCGCCTCTCGGCGCAGCTCCGCTCTCCTCGCAGCACTTGGAGGCCCCTCGAGTTTAAAAAGAAAGAAAACAGACATCCCAAGGGAGGGATGGGAGGACGGCACGCCGCCACCACACAGGGATTTTAAGGAGAGGAGTGTGGTGCTAGCCCTCGCCCACCCTAACCCTTGGTCGTCTGCCTCTTTCTATCTCCCTTCGCAGTCCCTCGCCGATTCTCGCTGCAACCCTCATGCCACCTCCGCGGTCGTCCCACTCTCGTCGTTCTCCCTCCTGTCGCTTCCTCCTCTCTCGCGTCGCTCTCGTCTGCCTCATCCTGCGACGCCGCCGCCGCCTGCCGATCCCTTGCTCTCGCCACTCGCGGCTTCTCCCGCCTTTCGGCGCAACTCCGCCCTCCTCGCGGCATATTTTGGCCCCTCGAGTTTATCAAGCTCTCCTCGCGCAAGGACGACTCTTCTGACGCCCACTGCGATCATCTGCCGCCAAGTCATATCGTTGCTCAGGTCCACTCTCTCTTCGGACACTTGTACCTCCACCGATGATGTTGGCGCTGGGGTCCCCTTGGATGCATCGTTACAGCTGACGACGGGATTACCACTGGTGTTTCGTCCTCCTCGGTGTTTAAAGAAAGCAAGAAAGAAAACAGACATGCAAGGGAGGGATGGGAGGACGGCACGCCGCCACCACACAGGGATTTTAAGGAGAGGGGGAGTGATGTCGGTGTAAATAAATAAATAAAAACATCGGACTTCAGCAATGAACACTCGGACTTTCTTTTTGCCTTCACGTACCATGCATGTATGTACTCGAGTAGTCCCACAATCGCTGTCGTGGGATCGCTTGTCATCGCTTTTTGCCACTGGTTGTGACCCCTCCCGGGCTCTTGGAGCACTTGGAGCTCTTGAGTGCGGTCATTAACCTCACATCCAGGGCCGGGTTTGGGATGACCAAGCGGCTCGACCGGCTCCTCTCCCTCATCCGAGACGCCTCGCGGGCGCGCTTCCTCGGCTCGCGCTCGTTCTCGCACGAGCTCGAGGCGAAGCACGTGCAGCAGGTGACTCAGGGTGGCGGCTTCACCGCCTTTGGCGACGACGGAACGCTCACCTTCGAGTACCGGGTCCCGGAGCGCGTCTGCTTCCGCGGCGACTCGTACCTTCCCCTCTCGGTTCTGCTCGCCATCGTGGACGAGGTCACGAGCTGGGCGTCGGTCGGCGTGGACCCAGCTCGGCGGCCGGGCGTGTCGATCGACCTCAACGCCGCCCTCGCCGCCGGTCGTGTGCCGCCGCGCGCGGGCGACCATCTCGTCTTTCTGGCGCGTTCACGACGTATGGGCCGCACGCTGGGCTTCCAGACCTGCGAAGTGCGGACCGGGTCTGGTGAGCTGGTGGCGACGGCCAGACACACCAAGCTACTCGATATGGGGAGGGCTTGGGGGATCGCGTTTGGTGCCGGGTTTGACCTCACACGAGGGCTCCTGCGCGCCTTCGGCTCAGTCGACCGGCCGCTGCCGACACTCTCACCGACCATCGGAGACCTTCTCCGGCCCGAGGCATGCGAGGTGGAGGGCGAGGCCGGCGGGGTGGGCAGAGCGATGGAGAGGCACAGGGTGGAAGGGGGCATGCTCAATGAGGTGGGCCTCCTCTTCGGGGGCTGTCAGGCGCTGCTGCACGAGCGGGCGGCGGGTTTGGCGGCGGATTGCGCTGTCGGACACGGCGGATTGGTGCTCGGAGCCATGTCCGTCACCTATTTGGCGGCCGCCAAGCGCGGCCAATCCGTCGAGGCTCGCGCCACAGCCCGCGCTGCGTGGGGCGGCGAAAGCACGTCGGGGCTTGTGGCCACCTCCTGTCTTATGGCGGGCAGCGGGAAGGCGGACAAGGTGGTGTCCGAGGCGAGGATGCGATTCCATCACGTCGCGGCGGCGGGAGCACGCGGTAGCATGCGGTAAATAAAGAAATAAAACGGAAACCTCTAGGAGATGGGTGAATAGGAACAGCCCCCCCCACCCCCCCCGGCATGCGGTACTTTTTTCTACTCGATGAAATATATAAGATTGAGAAAGTGTGGTATGTGGCTGTGCGCTGCACTCAGTCGCGCTCCCAATACGTGCATCACTTTTGTGACAGGTCTCAGACTTTGAGCGGCCATATCTCGGTAAACTATTGTGTATTGATGGTCCACCTCTGGGGGGGCGCGAGGGCCCTAGAGGACACCCATGCGGGGGGGAGATGGGGTCCCATGGCCCGCAACAGGCGCCGGTTTTACGATTTTTTTCTTTTTTCACTTGTTTTCATGGGAATTCGGCGTACTTGCGGCCATGCTATCACGCCTTGCGACAGCCTGTCGGCGCAGCTGACCGTGTCATGCTGCACAATTGATCACCCGCATAGCTCGCGGCCTTAGTATCCAGCATTCAGTGACGACCTGATCGTACGGCCAGTAGGAAGGTGTCCTTCCAGCTGCGTGCACGCTTCTGACGCAATGCCCGTCACAAACTGCCTCGGATTGGCTGCTGGCACTCTCGAGGCTATGCCTACACAGCCTCGCGCGCATGGGCAGTCAAGAGGGACCACGCAGCCCACCTTCTCAGGACAGCGCCGGTGCCTCTCTCTTGGACCGGCAAACTTGGTGGTCTCGTGTCACCAATGTGGGACCAGTGCAGCATGTCGCGGCAGACGACGGTGAGGCGGAGCAGTCGTGCAGGGCGAGACGAGGGAGGGAGCAGGATGTTGCGGAGATCAGCAGGAGGATGTACGGACGAGATTAGGTGTCCCTCTCCGGGGCGCGGGGGGGGCTGGGGCGGGGGGCGGGGGGCGGGGGCGGGGGCGCTGCGACTGGCCGACTGCACGAGAGTGTGCATGCAGCGACGCCCCTCAAAGCCTCAATGCAGATGCTTTTAGCCTCCCTCTCAGAACTCATACAGCTCTCTCTACTTTCCCTGTGTGGGGAAGTGCTGCGTGAGAGCTCTCTCGATTCGCGTATCTCGCGAACGCCGCCTCTGCTCTCGAGCGCCCCCCCCCTCTAAAAACGTTGTTTTTTTCTCCTGCGAGGCTGTGTTCCTCTTCACACACTTCTCAGAGGACAGGTTCCAGGAGCCCGTGCCCCACGCGCCACGGGGTGGCGACAAAAAACGAAGTCGTCGCGGGGTACCGCTACCGGGCGCGCCCGCGCCCCGCGCGGTTTTTTCTGACCCCATTCTGAGAGAAAACGGGCCAGACGCCTACACTGGTACGTGTCGGCCGAGCCCCCCCCCCCTCCCTAGTAGATGTTCGATGTTCGGGATACGGCGGCCGCGCGCAGCGAACTCACATCTTAGCGACCATGTCAGCGGTGTAGCCCAGCTTTTGCAGCGTGGAGCCGTCCTTCAGCTCCTTCTCGTTGCGCGGCCCGCACAGCGCGGCGTACATGCCCGGCAGCCCGCACACGAAGACGAGCGTGTCCTCCGCAGGCGGGAAGGCGTGCTTTTTGAGCTTGGCCTCGTCGACCCACCCCGTCTCGGCCGTGTACGTTGGCGTGTCGGCCCAGCCGGGAGGCGCCGGGTCGTCGGGCTGGTTGCCGACGACGTGCACGATCTTGAGCCGGCCCGCAGACCTGCTTGCCCAGCCGTCGAGCTCCTCCTTGAGCAGGATGTCCTCGGGGCTCTTGTTTCCATAGATGAGCGTCACCTTCCGGTTGTCGCCCTCGGTGCCCATCAGCTTCCACAGCGCCTGGTACATGGGCGCGATGCCCGTGCCCGCGGCGATGAGCGTGAACGTCGTCTTGCCTGCGAACGGGTACTGGGCCTTGATGTTGAATTTGATGTGCTTGAAGCTCACCTCGGCACCGATCGGCAGCGCGTGCAGGTACTGCGAGACGGCGCCACCGTCGTACCGCTTGATGAGCAGGTCAAACTTGCCCAGCACGCTGTTGTCGCTCACCGTACGGGCGGACCGCGTCTGAGCCGTCAAAGTCGTCCTTGCCACCGTCCGCCTTGCGGCCTTTGCCCGGCGCGAGGAGCAGTATGCAGGCGCACACGGGCAGGTTGAGCGACTGGCCCTCGGGAAGGCCAAAGGAGTAGAGCGTGCTGTCGTAGTTGTACTCCTTCTTCGCAAGCAGCGGCAGCGCGAGCCATGACGTCGGGAGGTAGCAGCTGGAGCAGTGGTCGAGGGGCTCTGACATCGGCGCGAGGAGAGTCAGGACGGAAAATTTCTTGTCCCTCGTTCGTAGGGCGTCCCAGGGTGGGCGACGGCTAGCGCATCACACCCTCCTCTCCTTAAAATCCCTGTGTGGTGGCGGCGTGCCGTTCTCCCATCCCTCCCTTGGGTTGTGTGTTTTCTTTCTTTCTTTCTTCGGGTTCCGGTGGCGACGCGCAGAACATCAACAACTGCTCGCAACACATGCGTGTCGCGCACTAAAACCTCCTTGGGAATGCTCTTGGGATTTGGCACGTGGGTGCTGGGGGGGGCGACAGGGAGGATGTGGCCCTGAGTTATGTGTACGCCAACTAACTCTGGGTGTGTGGCAGCCAGCTGTGGCTGTGTGTCTTGTGAGCCTGTTTGTGTCTGTGTGTCGCTCGTGCGTGCCGTCATCATCTGTCGAGCGTCCACCCATGCCGCGTTGGTGTCCAGTCCGAGCCTGACTGTTCTTCACCTTTCTTGAGCACTTGAAATTCGGTACGGCAAATGTTCGTCAAAGGGAAGAAAAGAAACACATTACCCCGCCGTCGCACCGACAAGCACCGACAAGACCATGTCCTGGCTGCTGATCGCGATCTCCGCCGCGTTTATCGCTGGTCCGTGCTCAGCGCGTCACTGGCACCCGCCTGGTGCTCTGAATCCGCGTCCGCGCCTGGCGGTCGCCTGTGCCACAGACTCGAAGGGCCTCGGCGTCGCTGACGTGGCCGCTGCGGACGCTGCTGCGGATGGTGGTGTCGCCGCCACAGCAGCCGCAGGCTGGCGCGGCCCACTGCATGCTGCTGGCGTCCTATGGCGCTTCTCGAGGCCGCACACCCTCATCGGCTCCGCCCTGTGCATCCCCGCACTCTCTCTGTACGCCGCGCCGCCCGGCGCCGCCATCTCGAGTGCAGTGTTCGTGCCGCTGGTGCTGTACGCGATGGTGCCCTCCCTGCTCGTCAACGTGTACATCACCGGGCTCAACCAGCTCTTCGACATCCCCATCGACCGCGTCAACAAGCCCACCCTGCCCCTCGCCTCCGGCGAGATGTCGCCGGCCGTTGGCGCAGCCACGGTGCTGCTCTGCCTCGCCGGCGGCCTCGCCCTCGGCTGGGCCTTCCCGCCGCTGTGCAGCCCGGCGCTGCGCGCGACGCTGTGCGGCTCGGCCCTCCTCGGCACCGCCTACTCCTGCCCGCCAGTCCGCCTCAAGCGCTCTCCCCTCCTTGCATCGCTCTGCATCATGTCGGTGCGCGGCGCACTCATCAACTGGGGCTTCTTCGCGCACGCGGCGGAGGCGTACGGCGCGTCGGTGTCGACGGCGGCGCTGCAGGCCTGGCGCTGCGCCGGCCCGGTCGCCTTCTTCACACTGTTCGGTGCGCTCACACCCACACAGACGTGGGCACAGACGGATATACACACAACACACGCACGCAAAATGGCACACGCAAACACTCGCCTCCGACTCGACGTGGCGCGCAGGCACCGTCATCGCCCTCGTCAAAGACGTGCCAGACGTGCCCGGCGACGCGCGGTACGGCATCCGATCCTTCTCTGTCCGCGTCGGCCAGGCGCGGGTCCTCTCGCCGCACCTCGCCGCACCTCGCCGCATCTCTCACGGCTTCTTCCTCGGCCAGGCGCGGGTCCTCTCGCTCGCGACCGCTCTGCTCGGCGCAACGCTCGCGGCGGCGGCTGCCGCACTCGGCGTCGCCTCCGCCTCGGCGGCGGGGGGGGGAGCGTGGCTCGCGAGTGCGCGCCGCGCAGCCGTCGCCGTCGCGGCGGTGTGCGCGGCGCGGGCCGTGGCGCGCGAGTCCGCTGCGGTGGAGCCGACCGACGGGCCGTCGGTGTACGCCTTCTACATGAGGCTGTGGAAGCTGTTCTACGCCTCGTACGCCTGCCTGCCCTTTGCGCGATAGAGGGCGCTCGTTGGGGGGGAGGCGTTCGAGCTCGCGCCGCCCCCCTCTCCTTCCCTTCCACGCGCTTAGGTCCACGACCTCCAGCGGGGGAGGGATACGTCGACACATCTCAACAGCTACGTACGAGTAGCTGTCGCGTTCCTGCATTCTGGGGGCAAGCGCGAGTCCATTTCGGACGCTAACACAGGGAACAGCTGGCGCGAGCCCATTCGCATTCCCCAGCTTCCCCTTCGGTCGATCGCGCCTCTGTACAGTGATGTCAGTCGAGTGTCTCTCTCTCTCTCGAGTCTCGTGAAATATTTACTACGGACTCTATATCTGTGGACCTATACATAGAAGCTAGAACTGGACAGACAACCTACCGTGTAGCGATGACTCCGAGAGACTCGGTCTGGGCCGTCTGGAGTCGCCTCGCGGACCACAGTCCACAGCCCTAACAGCCCCCCCCACTTGGGCCAGGTACCAATTTTGTCGAATTTATTTCAAAATCTGCAGGCGCGGAGCGCCTGCAAAAATTTTGAAGAAATTTGCAGTCGGGCCTGATTTTCATCAAGATCTTTCAAATTTGCGGTGTGGAGTTGGGGGGTGTGGGTTAGGTTAGGGTTATTAGGGTTAGAGGGTTTAGGGTTAGGGTTAGGGTTAGGGGTAGGGTCTGGTTGTGTCTGTATATGCCAGCGTTGCAGGGTTCTGCGCTGGGATCTGGCCGCACAGCGCCGACGACTAAGACTCAGCCCCACACGCTGACCTACGGCTTTAGGGTTAGGGTTAGGGTTAGGGTTAGGGTTAGGGTTAGTCTTCTTGCTTGTGTTTGTATGCCAGCGTTGCAGAGTTCTGCGCTGGGATCTGGCCCCAGCGCCGACGAGTAAGACTCAGCACCGCACGCTGACCCCACCAAATGCCGCCTCAGGGCGCCAGGCCGCCAGCCACCTCTTACAGCGGCCGGCGCCCTCTCGCGGCAAAAGGGTCGAGCGAGCGGGCAGAGTCGCGCGATGTCTGCGCACCCACGTGCCGATGGGCGGCACACGCAATCGAGAGAGGCCCTGTCACGCCGCCAGTAGCGTTCCGCACTCCCCACGCCACCAATTGCCGCCTCAGGGCGCCAGCCACCTCTTGCACGCGGCCGGCGCCCTCTCGCGGCAAAAGGGTCGAGCGAGCGGGCAGAGTCGCGATGTCCCTGCGCACCCGCGTGTTCGCCGCCTATATGCTCTATCCTGTGCCAAGACGGACACATTTTGACAATCAAAATCTACCTCAAAATTTGCGGCCGCCCCTCGAAATTTGCTGATCAAAATTTGCGGTGGCCCGGATCGAAACCTGTACTTTGGCCAATCCGCTATCCCTCCCG